TTGAGATTCGAATCACTCCACAAGCAAGATTGATCATGTCGAGCTTGAATGATTCTACATGCAACCTAAACTACATAGAGTTGCAAAGAAACTTAGCCATTGGCTAAAGAAAAGCACAAATGCTTCTTTTAATATATCTTCTAAGTCTTACTTACAAATACAACATAGATGGCTTTATATAGCCTCAAAATGAAACTATTAAAGGCATTCCAAAAGTTGTAACATTCACACTTTATGGCCATAATTAGCCATTATGTAAATGTAACCGAAATTAAATAAAAAGTCTTAAAACACAATAACTCTAAATTATAACCCACCCAAAATTTACAACAATCAAACTTTATTCTTCTTCAATGTAGCATGAATTGAAACATCTTTTGATAATTTTGACAACCTTTTCTTCACATCTTCATTGAAGCATATTGTATGATTGATGTCTCTTGGTTCATATCATTCTCCACTTCTTCAAGAGGATTCGTCCTCGAATCTATTTGTGAAACTTTGCTGCAAAAAATAAGTTATGGAAATACAAAGGACCTCACAACACTCTCTCACGTGTATACACTCAAGGAATTTTAGGCCACTCTGTTTGCACTCATTTACACAAATGAAGCTCTCATTCTCACCTCTCAAAATTTTAAATAGAGCAAAGATTGAATTTTGAACTTTGGGTCGATTAAAAACTAAAAAGATGAAAATAAATAAAAATCAAATTGAGAAGAAACGCAAAGGAAACATATATCCGATCTTGAGCCTGAAGCTCTGATACCAAATGATAAGATAAGGAATCAACTACAAGGGGAATAAGATTCGGATTACCTTGTTGATCGAATATCTCAAGCCAAGAACACTTTGTTTGAGATTCGAATCACTCCAGAAGCAAGATCGATCATGTCTAGCTTCAATGATTCTAGTTGATCAAATATCTCAAGACAAGAACACTTGATTGAGATTCGAATCACTCCACAAGCAAGATTGATCATGTCGAGCTTGAATGATTCTACATGCAACCTAAACTACATAGAGTTGCAAAGAAACTTAGCCATTGGCTAAAGAAAAGCACAAATGCTTCTTTTAATATATCTTCTAAGTCTTACTTACAAATACAACATAGATGGCTTTATATAGCCTCAAAATGAAACTATTAAAGGCATTCCAAAAGTTGTAACATTCACACTTTATGGCCATAATTAGCCATTATGTAAATGTAACCGAAATTAAATAAAAAGTCTTAAAACACAATAACTCTAAATTATAACCCACCCAAAATTTACAACAATCAAACTTTATTCTTCTTCAATGTAGCATGAATTGAAACATCTTTTGATAATTTTGACAACCTTTTCTTCACATCTTCATTGAAGCATATTGTATGAATGATGTCTCTTGGTTCATATCATTCTCCGCTTCTTCAAGAGGATTCGTCCTCGAATCTATTTGTGAAACTTTGCTGCAAAAAATAAGTTATGGAAATACAAAGGACCTCACAACACTCTCTCACGTGTATACACTCAAGGAATTTTAGGCCACTCTGTTTGCACTCATTTACACAAATGAAGCTCTCATTCTCACCTCTCAAAATTTTAAATAGAGCAAAGATTGAATTTTGAACTTTGGGTCGATTAAAAACTAAAAAGATGAAAATAAATAAAAATCAAATTGAGAAGAAACGCAAAGGAAACATATATCCGATCTTGAGCCTGAAGCTCTGATACCAAATGATAAGATAAGGAATCAATACAAGGGGAATAAGATTCGGATTACCTTGTTGATCGAATATCTCAAGCCAAGAACACTTTGTTTGAGATTCGAATCACTCCAGAAGCAAGATCGATCATGTCTAGCTTCAATGATTCTTGTTGATCAAATATCTCAAGACAAGAACACTTGATTGAGATTCGAATCACTCCACAAGCAAGATTGATCATGTCGAGCTTGAATGATTCTACATGCAACCTAAACTACATAGAGTTGCAAAGAAACTTAGCCATTGGCTAAAGAAAAGCACAAATGCTTCTTTTAATATATCTTCTAAGTCTTACTTACAAATACAACATACATGGCTTTATATAGCCTCAAAATGAAACTATTAAAGGCATTCCAAAAGTTGTAACATTCACACTTTATGGCCATAATTAGCCATTATGTAAATGTAACCGAAATTAAATAAAAAGTCTTAAAACACAATAACTCTAAATTATAACCCACCCAAAATTTACAACAATCAAACTTTATTCTTCTTCAATGTAGCATGAATTGAAACATCTTTTGATAATTTTGACAACCTTTTCTTCACATCTTCATTGAAGCATATTGTATGATTGATGTCTCTTGGTTCATATCATTCTCCACTTCTTCAAGAGGATTCGTCCTCGAATCTATTTGTGAAACTTTGCTGCAAAAAATAAGTTATGGAAATACAAAGGACCTCACAACACTCTCTCACGTGTATACACTCAAGGAATTTTAGGCCACTCTGTTTGCACTCATTTACACAAATGAAGCTCTCATTCTCACCTCTCAAAATTGTAAATATAGCGAAGATTGAATTTTGAACTTTGGGTCGATTAAAAACTAAAAAGATGAAAATAAATAAAAATCAAATTGAAAAGAAACGCAAAGGAAACATATATCCGATCTTGAGCCTGAAGCTCTGATACCAAATGATAAGATAAGGAATCAACTACAAGGGGAATAAGATTCGGATTACCTTGTTGATCGAATATCTCAAGTCAAGAACACTTTGTTTGAGATTCGAATCACTCCAGAAGCAAGATCGATCATCTCTAGCTTCAATGATTCTAGTTGATCAAATATCTCAAGACAAGAACACTTGATTGAGATTCGAATCACTCCACAAGCAAGATTGATCATGTCGAGCTTGAATGATTCTACATGCAACCTAAACTACATAGAGTTGCAAAGAAACTTAGCCATTGGCTAAAGAAAAGCACAAATGCTTCTTTTAATATATCTTCTAAGTCTTCCTTACAAATACAACATACATGGCTTTATATAGCCTCAAAATGAAAGCATTCCAAAAGTTGTAACATTCATACTTAATGACCATAATTAGCCATTATGTAAATGTAACCGAAATTAAATAAAATGTCTTAAAAAACAATAACTCTAAATTACTCTAAATTGTAACCCACCCAAACTTTATAACCATCAAACTTCATTCCTCTTCAATGTGACATGAATTGCAACCTCTTTTGATAATTTTGACAACATTTTCTTCACATCTTCATTGAAGTATATTGTATGAATGATGTCTCTTGGTTCATATCATTCTCCGCTTCTTCAAGAGGATTCGTCCTCGAATCTATTTGTGAAACTTTGCTGCAAAACATAAGATATGAAAATACAAAGGCCCTCACAACAATCTCTCATGTGTATACAACACTCAAGGATTTTTTTTTAGGCCACTCTGTTTACACAAATGAAGCTACTTCATTTGTGTAAACAGAGTGGCCTAAAAAAAAATCCTTGAGTGTTGTATACACATGAGAGATTGTTGTGAGGGCCTTTGTATTTTCATATCTTATGTTT